CCGGAGTAAACGTGGTCTTTGGGCTCCATCTCTGAGCAGGCATGACTTCAGACAAAGTGAGTTCTTCCCCTGCACATACCCAGCACAAGCTCTTCTGTTGCAGTGGGGTGGGGTCATGGCCGGGAGAGTCTGCAAGAGTGATGCCCACCTCCACTGGACTGTCAGAGCCTCGCCTGCCCCTGGCCCCCTCTGCTGAGGCTCTGGGCTTTGTGGGGTGATCTGGTAGCACCCCATGACTGGTCCTGATGGTGCTGAGGGACAGATATGGTCCAAGCCCTGAAGTGTGACACATGGTGGCCATGTCCACAGGCCTGCAGGGATCCCGCGTCCTGCTAGCTGTCCACTCGTGGCCCTGGAATGTGCTGTCTTCTCCATTTCAAAGGAGAACAGCCCACACTGCCAGTCAGTTGATGAGGGCAGTGAAGGGGTTGTATCCCCAGGCCCTGGTTTGGATTTCCTTGTGGGGACCGTAGAAGCCAGAAGCCCCTACTAGGTCAACACACCTGCCCTTTCCTGACACATGCTGAAGGTTCGGCTGACCACCGGGAAAGGGCCCCTGTGCCACCCCTTCCACACGTGGCCCATGCTCTGCTCCCTTCTCATCCCCTCCGAGTCCCACAAATTGGCAGGGTTGTAACTTAAGCAACACCGCCTAGGGCCTGCTGGAGTTTTCTTCCCACCTGTCCCAAGTGAGACCAGATGATCCTGGACTCTTCTTGCCCTTTACTGCTTTCTCCTACGGGCAGTCTGCATCGCCACCCTGTCCTCACAAACAGTAAAGCCAGTTCTGGTGGCTGCAGCCAGAGCTTAGGGCTCAGAACAGTTTGCAACCTGGTCACTCCCATCGGAACCGCTTTTGGCTCCCTAGCACGCCCCTCTCACTGCTGTCCTGGCGCAGGCTCCTCTGGCTTGCGGCCTGCCTTTGCCCACCGCTCGGGGGGCAAAGGACCCTCCTTGGTGCACCCCACACCACTGACCGACCAACCCCAATGCAGCCTGGCTACCTTCCGGGAGACGAGCGCTGGGCTCTAGGGTAGCGGGACTTGCGCTCCCAGGCCCGTGAGGGTGGTGCGTAGCGCGGGCCGGACAACTCTAGCCTACCTGCTCGTAGCAGAGTGCCAGCGGGGTCGTGCCCACCTCGGGCCCGCGGTGCTGGGCCCTGCGCCCTGCGCCCTGGGACGCAGTGCCTGCTGCGGCCACAGGGCGGCAGCACAGTCCATGCCGCCTGGTCATCGGCCGGAACCTCTACCTAGGTCATGGCCCCGCCTGGGGCCAGCCTGCCCAGGACCGGTTTCCCGAAAGACCACCACCCACTGAGGACGCTGCCGCAGTCCCCACTTGAATTCCCGCCCCAGGTGTGGGAGGCAAGTCCAGACTCCGGGCCAGGGGCGTCCTGGGCCAAGAGGCAGACTCGCGGGGTCCCCCCGCCCCTATCCCGGTCGCCCTTCGGAGGTTGGTAGGCAGCAGTAAAGGCTCTAGTCTCCCCCCGGGCCCGCCTCCACCCCCTCCCGCGTCTCCCCAAGGCCTGGGGTCCTCAGGCGCCTGCTCTGGGGCCTCTCCACACCGTACCTCCTCCGGCGTCCACCCACTTAGTGCTGGGGGCGCGCAGAGGCCTCCCACCATCAGCCTCAGCTCAGACGCCAACCTGCGCGGGGCGCACCCGAGCCCCGCCCACAGCGGGTTCCACTGTGTGCGCGGGTGGGGGATGGAAGAGGCGGATCAAGTCACGGGTTCCAGGCCGTGCCCCCAGGACGGGGATGACAGCTGGTCTCTAGCGCTGACAACTTACGCCCGGCGAGTGGGTGCGCGGGGTGGGCTGCGAGCCAAGGGCGGCGGGGAGGCCTTCTGGGCCCCCACCCGGCCCGGTGCGCTTTCCGGGTGTGCGAGCGGCCCCGCCCCCACCGGCGCTGAATGGTCCCTGCTGGTTTTGAATTCAAAGATCGGGCCTTTGTGGATGCCCGCCCCCAACCCTTGCCAGGGCCCCCCAAGACCCGGCTTCCCCGGCCACTGATGAGCCCCCACCTCTCCTAGCCCGGCCCACGAGATTCTCCTTGCCTGACTCCCATCCCGCTTCTCCCAGCCTCCCACCCATCCAGGCTCCCCCGGCCCTCCCTCCAGTACCTCCGCTGCCCCCTTGCTGCCCCCCAACCCAGTCCAGCCCGCCGCCAGCCCCGGCCCGCCGCCCTCATTAGCATAGCAGCTGCTCGCCGAGCGGGGACCCGCGGAGGAAAGGGCAGAGGCCTCGGGAATGAATGGGGGCCGCGTCTGTGGAGGGGGCGAGAGAAGAAAGACCGACAGACGGACGCTCGGAGGGATGGTCCGACGTCGAGTTGAAGAATGCGCTGGGCCAGGGGAGAGGAGTGTTGGGGGAGCGGCGCCTGGGCCGTAGAGGCAGAGTGTGCAGCGGCGGTGCAGGGGGAGGTCCAGTGGCCTCCGAAGACCCGAAGCCCCCAGGAGAGGGCCCCGCGCTGGAGGCCCCGGGAGGAGCCGCTGCGGCTGTTCCCAGACCTCCCACGGCCCCGCAATGGCCTGCGCCCTCACACTCTGGCCTCAGGCTTTGTCCCCCAGCTGCCCCAGCACGGCCTCCTTCCCGTCCCTTGAGGTCCAGGTGGACGCAGGCCTCTCCGTGTGCTCTACAGAGGTCGCAGCAGGCGGGGGTCTCCCTGAGGTCAGAGCCGCAGGGCGGAGCCCCTGTGCCCACGTGCACCCCAGTCCCAGCACTGCTGTGCCCAGCTGCAAAGCCTCTGGGGGACAGACCCAGAGGGCAACCCCCTTCTGTCCTTCTAACCCGTCCTCTTGGCTCTGGGCTCTTGGTCCTGCTCTCCCTCCTCCCGCCAACGCTGTCCCGGCTCCCACGCTGCTGCCTTCAGCCATCACTCTTTCTGGCCGTTCTCCTGTGTTTCCTGGTCTCCCTCTGGCATCCATTCCAACAGTAAACACTTCCTGCGTCCAGCCAGGGTCCAGTCAGGGAGGTGAAGGACTGGGCTGGGCCCTGTCCTTGTCCATCTGGTCTGTCCCCTTTCTTCATGGCAGCCATTCTGGGGGTCTCAGTGGCACAGCCCCAGCCTGCCAGACTCCCTGCTCACTCTGGGTCTCCTGCTGCCCCTGGCAGGGACCCCACCTGGTCTCCACCCACGCATGCACGTGCATGCTCACACGCACACCTGCAGGTCCCAGAGGCCAGGCAGAGGCCAGCTGGGCCTTCTCCTCACTGGAGGCCGGAAAAGATGTTTCCACCCATGACAGCCTGTGTGGGGAGGGGTGACAGGGACTCCCAGGTGACTCTGCTGCCATTAGCACTAACTCCCATCTGATGAATGCAGAGGCCCCTGGATCGAGGGTCTGCCTCGTACCCTAACCCCACTAACCCCACGTGGTGGACAAACTGTGGTTTTAGTCTGCTTGCTGGGGCTCTGCCAACAAAAGGGCGACCTGCGTGTCCTTGGGGCCCCTGGAGCCCCTCACTGCCACCAGGACCCAGGCTGGAAGGGCCATCTGCTCACAGAACAGCCCCTGGGGAGAAGGGCAGCAGAACCAGGGCACCCCCACCAGGGGCTGGGTGGGGCCTAGGCTTTCTGTCCACACGGAGGAAACTGTCTCCCGTGAGAAGCCAAGCCTGTCCCAGTCCAGCAAGTCTTTAAGAAGAGTGGACTCATGAAGCTGCAGCAGTCTTTCAGGACAGCAGCCCTCGGCCTGGACCCACCCCAGCGCCTGGGCTCCACCGGCCGGCTGGCCTTTCCACCAGGGAGGCCTGGAAGGGCTGTGCAGTCAGGGCCACCATCCCCCACCCCACTGGCTAAGGCCAAGAACTGCGCAGCCTTCGAAGGGTCTCCAGATGGCTCCCCCCATTCCTGGGGGCAAGTGCCCCAGTTGGGAAACGAAGGCCCCGCCCAGCGTGTCTGTGGGTGGCCCATCGTGCCCAGGCCTGACTTCACTCTCCAGGCACCCCACATCCAAGTTCTCATAGCCACTCTCCCTGTCGTGGGCAGGCACCCCCAGCTGGCGCCGGCAGGCCACTTGCCCTGGAGCCAGCTTGTGAGCCCTGGGTAGACACTGCCCATCCAGGGGCTTATTTGCATCAGATATTCCACTCACCTCTGTGGTGTCTACGCTGGGGCAGACCTGGTCTGGCAGGCCAGCAGGGGGACAGCAGATGCTTGTGGCACCAATGTGCTCAGAAAACTTTCAGGGGCAGAATGGAGCAGGAGATGGAGCTGGCACAGAGGGAAAGGCTTCTAGTTTGGGAAGGGTGACATGTCTGGCCAGCTGCCCTGCTTACAGGGAAGCTAACACCCTTTAGCTCCTTGCAAAGGGGCCTGAAAGCGGTGGGTCAAGGCCAAGTGGAAACTTCCTCCACCAGCCCTCTGAGCGGCTGCTCCTGCTGGGGTGTCCTCCAGGCCTCCCTGCCCGGCCCACAGGCGGTTCCACAGTGGGCTCGCATCTCCACCCAGTAGGTGCTAGAGCAGACACCCTGCTGCATACTCACAGACTAGACACTGCCCTCCAAGCCCGCCCGGCTCCGGGCCCAGCTGGCCTTCTCGGCTCCCAGATGCCACCGGGGCCAGAGAGAAGAAAGGGGCCTCTCCTTTATCAGAAGTGAGCGGCCGTGGTGTTCCTCCGAATTTAAAAGATGCCGTCTGTGCCGTAGGTGGTGCAGCACGAACCCACAGCAGCCAGAAGAGGGGCCTGGCCACCGCCACATCCCCCATTTCTCAGGCTGGCTGGAGGTCAGGGCTGGGAAGAGCCTCGAGGAGGACTTTCCACCGGGAGGCCTCGCTGCTTTGTGGGGAAGCAGAGGACACGGACCAGGTGCCTCCTGAGTCCTGTCTGCGGCCCACTTGGGTCGACAGCGGCGCGGAGCCCGGAGCCAGTTTGCCAGGCTCTGTCTTTGGGTGAGCACGAGCCAAGCATTGTGTACACGTCACCCACAGCCCAGCATGTTGCAGCCTGACCCTCGGGTGCCAAGCCCAAGAAGAACCAACAACCTTTTTCTCTTTTTAATATAAAAAGATCAATGAAAAATTTATTTATAAATTTTTCACGCTGGGCTACAAGTATATCGTACGCTCAGGAATGGGCTGCAGATGCCATCCAGTTAGAAGTGGTCAGACCGGGCCCCATACATAGCTTCCATAAGCCTAGAAAGTCTGAACATTAATTAACATAATTAAAAAGTTATTTGCATCTAGAAAAAATATACAGAAAAACTCCTTTTGGAGTAATCTGTGCCTCAGTTTCAATGTCTGCTTGTTTCACTGACATTATCAATATATTCCTCTCACACAGGGTTTTATATAAAGCCAAAGATGACTGCCCGAATCTGACCAGCCACGTACAAAGGGCCTCCACCCACCTGTGTCCTCAAGTGCTCCCCATTTTTGCACGAAGGGTCAGCAGCACTTCTACCCAGGAAGCCTCATTTAAATTTGAATAATTCAGTCTCCCTTTTATTTCTCAGGATCAAAACAAGGGGTGTGGGGTTGCATAGAAAATTGGAACCTCGGAGACCAGGAAGGGTGCCTTTCCGACGAAAGTGACGCAGAAGCACCGCCTCCGGCCAGGTCCCCCAGCAGCCCCTGGCGGCCCCTCCCCCACAGCAGGATTTTGGGATTCCAATCGGGTTCTCGAAACTCCGGGAGGCTGAAGAGGGGCAAACGGTCCTTCAACTCACTCAGCAACTAGCACAAAAGATTCACAGTCTTATAGGATTTTTATAAAAATATAAATATGGGAACACTGTCGTATACACAACGCTGGATACAACGCCCTTTAAAACTGGCTTTATAACCAAGATTCAACAAATACACCTAAGACTTGGCTTAAAATATGTTAATATTTTATACTGTCATAAATGTTATGACATTTAATCGTGGCAAATCCATTTACTTTTTTAAAAAAGTGTGCAACCGACTGTTAACTATAATAGAACTCGCTAGACCAGGTATGGCCCCCACCACCCCCTCCATCACCGCCTTACCCGAGCACCCGGGCTCCCGCGCAAACTTTGCCAAACCAGCAGGTTTGGGGACAATGGCCGGTCGCAGAAAGGGAGAAGGCCTGGGGCTGCCAGAACGCACACGAAGTTGTGTGCGCGCGCGAGTGTGAGTGCGAGAGGGAACAGCAGAGGTGGGGAGGGAGACCGAAAGAAGTGGGGCGAGGTGCGGAAGAGAAACAGGGGCGAGAGGAAGTGGCGCGGGGAAGCTTTCGGGCTGGGCGGCGTTTTCAGTGCAACCGAGAAACGACAGACTCAAGTTTTTAGTTGTAAGACTAGGGAAAAAAATGCCCCCCCCCCCATAACCACATTTACCACGCACAGTATTTTCCAAACAAAAACATCAGGCGCACAAACTTCACCCACAAGTAGACACACACGATAAATAGTTTAGAGCCTCAGCGACAGCCCAGCGTCTCCTCCGGGCGCGTCGGCCGCGGGTCCCGCGGGCGGGGGGCGCCCTGAGCCCGGCGTCCCCGTCACCCGCCTTCCACCTCCGGAGAAAACATTTTGAGCGGAGGATCCGGTGTCTCGGGATTCCGAACTTGCTGGTAACGAGACTCAAATTTCAAAGGGGCTGGAGCCCGCGCCCCGCCCCCACCCGCGAGGCGGAGGGCGGGGGCCGTGGGAAGCGCTCCGGCCCAGCTCCGGGCGGCCGCGGGGGGGCGTCGACCTGGGACAGCGGGCGCCGTGCGGGCCCGGTGTGCACGGACGCGCGCCGTACTCTTCGTGGCCGCGGCGCCGAGGGCCGGGCGCACACCGAGGTAGTTGGCGGGAAGGTACAGCAGAGGCGACACGCGCGGGTCCCGCGGCCGGGTCGGGGATCGGGTCCGGGCGGGCATCACCGGCCGCTGCCCGCGTACTTGGCCTTGGTGATGAGATAGAGTACGATGTCCTGGTGGCCGCCGAAAGCGGCGATGTGCAGCGCGCTCCAGCCGTCGCGGTTGGCCAGGCGGATGTCGGCGCCGAACTTAACCAGCAGCTTCACGAGCTCCAGATTGCCGTCGATGACGGATTGGTGCAGCGCCGTCTGGCCCTCGGGCCCGAATGAGTTCACGTTGAACTCACAGTTGGTCATGTTCTGCAGCAGTGACTGCAGCTCTTGCGTGTTGCCCTTACGCACAGCCTCCTGGAAGATACGCTGCGTCTGCGGCGCCGAGCAGGTGGACAGCTCGGTCTGGCTCATGCTGCCGGACGCGGGCAGCTGGTCGGGCCGGGGCTCAGCGCAGGCCCCCGGCTGTCTCCGGGCCCGCCTCGGCGCATGGACGGCGCGGTGCCCCCGGGCCCCGCACGCCGCCCCTGGGCGCTCTGGGCGCTGGGGGCCGGGGGCCGCCGCCGCAGGGCCCCCGCCTCATCCAGCCGCGCCCGTGCGAGCGGGCGACCGGGACAGACGCTGAGCTCGTGGAGGCTGGCGGAGCCGGGGCGGCGGCGCCGCGCTCTCTGGTCCCTACTCGCTTCGGCTGCAGCTCCCACGCGGACCCCACGCGCCTCCCCACGCGCCGCTGCACTCGCCCGCCCGCCGCACCGGGGCGCCTTTTACCGCCTTTATATTTGCATAACAATGGAACCCCGTGACGCGTGCGCCGGCCGTCAGCTCATTGGTCGACGCTGCCTGGGGGCGGGGCGGGGGCGGGGCGTGTCGGGGGCGTGCCCGGGGTGCGTTTCGCGGCAGGGGGCGCTGGTCGCTGACCGCGCGGGACAGGGAGCACGGAGGCTGTGGGGAGGTCCTTGCTCCGCCGCGCCACCGCCGGGCTCCCTGGGCCCCCCGCCCTTCCACTCCGCCCCCGGAGTCTCTGTAGTCGTCCCGCCCACTGTTCCTCTGGCCATCCGGGGAATTCCAAGCTCCCTTCGCTGACAGAACGGGGCTCGAGCTTCGGGCCGAGCTCTACCCCCAAGTGGACACAAGGGCGGCCTATCCTGGGTGGGGGTTCGCGAGCATCTCGGACTCAGGAGGTCCGGGCAGAGACCCTGATCTTGCTCGCGCTGGGAAGGCGGGCCACGGACCCCCTGCATCCCCAGCAAGACCCACGCGAATGCACGGCCCATGCGGGTGACTACTCCAGGAGCAGCTCGGGCTAGCGGCCTCAGCCACGCGGGTCCTTCCCGCTCCACGGTGGCTCCCCTAGTGGCCTGCATCACTCGGTGTTTGTTTCCCAACCCCAACCCGCCTGGCATGCACCCACACATGAGGCTTTCAGCCCTGTGCTGACCAAGAAGCAGCCCGGTCTTCAAATAAAAGCTCAGGGCTGGGGGTGGTGTGGCAGGAAGCTCCGCAGTGGGGGGCAGTCAGCCAGCTGGACCGGAGTGCCTGCCTCCCCTCTCCTGGGCCCCCCCATCTGCATGAATGGGGACAGGAAGACCTGGCCCCGTGAGCAGCCCCAGGTGAGGCACCAAGGACTGCTCTGAAAGGGAAATCTGAAGTGACTCATTTCCAAACTGTAAACCATTTTAATTTACACCCTAACACTCCCGCCAAATTTCCTCATTAGGATTTTACAGTTTACAGCTTGGCTGCGGTTGCTGGGAATTAAGGAGAAATGATTCTCAGAGCTGTAGGCTGGGCATTGAGGCCAGCAGCCGGGCAGCACGCAGGGACTTGCGTTCCTTCAGAGGCTGCTGGGAATTCCCCAGGAGGCGGCTCTGTGCCTCAGCTGGGAGACCACCCAGTTAGGTCTTGTCTGGGGATGGGAATGGGCTACCCACCATACCTCACAATGTGGGTGTGCCCGCACCTTGCCCGGTGCTCCGGGAGCGGTCGTAGCCAAACCACAAGAAAAACTAGGCAAGGCCAGCGCAGGTCTGGCTTTCCCCAGCCCGCTGCATTCCCACCTTGGCTGTCTCACCTGGGGTCCTCCTGGTAGCCAGGGCACCTGTGTCCCTTGCTCTGGACCTCCTGAGGCTGGTGGTCTAGCTGGTCTGCTCAGACCTGTTCCCCTCAGGAGCACCCCCCCGAGCAGGTGGGTGAGCCTTGGCGGAACCAGAGCCCACGCTCTGAGTGTGGCCCAGTCATGGGTGTGGCCCGGTCATGGGTGTGGCCCAGGGCTGCCCCTGCTGCCCCACTCCTGGACCAGCTCATTCTGGGAGTGGTGTCCCTGGCCTGGTGGGGAGGCTGGGAGCAGATGCTGCTGAACTGTGAGCACCTGGGGGCGGAGCTCCCGATCACCCCCAGCACCCCCCACCCCCCAGCACCAGGGACCAGGGCATGGGCTTCCATGGAGGCCGAACTGAGCACAGGGGCCCTTGGAACAGGGCCGTCCACCTGCTGCCCCCTGGACTCCCTGAGCAGGGCGGGGGGGAGGGTGGCTGTGCTCTGAGAGGGTATGTGGGTGGCCCAGGGCCCCTCCCCCTCAGGTCTGTGTTTTCCATGCACCTGCCAGGGCCTAGCCGTGCACAGGGCCATCCCTGGAAGGTGGTGGGTTCACAGACAGGCCCCCGCCCAGGTGGGCTCAGGCCCCTGGTCTGGAGAAGGGCATCTGGAGACTGCTGGGCAGGGAGCAGAGCCTCAGAGAAAAGTCCCATTGACACCCTCAGCGAGCGTCACGGTGGGCAGACAAAGGGGCCCTGTGAGCTCAGTGTGGGAACTCTCGGCCGCCACCACGGGCCATGAAATTGGCAGCTTAGGCGCCCCCGGCAGGGACCATGTGGTTGGAGTAGCCACGGGAGTCTAGCCTGCAGTCGGCGGCCACCCCACCCAGCCAGCACAGGTCATGTGGGTAGGTCTGGGCCTTTCCCTGCTATGTGGCCATGCCCCAAGCCCCCCTCACCCAGCTTCTCCGCTGTGGGCCCAGGCGATGGCCGCGCGGTCGTGCGGAGCCGAGGGATCGTGGAGGCTGGTGCTCCCTCGCTGCAGCCTGGAGGGCACCTCCGCTGCCCCTTGCGCGAGTCCACACCCATGTGCCAGAGCTGACTCTGTACGGCCCAGGCCCCCAACACACACGCCCTAAACGTTTGCTGAAGGGTACACTGGAACGGGGGACATTTGTACGCGTGTGTGCACGCCTGTGTGTGTGTGCAATGGTTCTCTGGCTCTGAGGGAGGCGCCCGTACCTCAGATCTGGGGGGCACAGACCCAACTCTGACTACTGCATCCGGACCTTGTCCTGGGGGGCCAAGGCGGAGGCCAGGGTGCGAGAGGGAGCCCTCTCCCTCCTGGACTCACTTTCTTTGGAGGCTCAGAGCAGTGGGGGTGGGGGCAGGTTGGGGAGCGTTAGGGACCTGGGCTGGGAGGGCTGGGAGGTCTGGGGGTGCATAGGGGAGGACAGCTCCAATGGGGGGCCTGGCCAGAGCTGGGCTGAGGCCTGGGGCCACCTTAAAGGCTCTGGGCAGGGGAGGGAGGGCGAGCAGGCCGCTGGGCAGGCAGGCAGGGGGGCGGGGCTTCCAGCTAATTCATTAAAATGTGTCGGGGAGCGTGGGAAAGAGGAGAGGATTTCTTCCCAGCAGCCCAGACACCTGGTAGAAGGGCCGAGCGAGGATACAGATCAAATAACAAACACTCGGCCGGGCCAGCGCGGCCAGGGCCAGTGCGCAGGAAGGACGCCCGGGGCAGGAACTGCGGCAGACAATCGTGGCGGCTCCTGCCTGCCCGGCTGGCCACTCAGGCACCTCTTGGCACTGGGGCCACAGACTGCCCCATCCGCCTGGGGTCTGACCCCAGCTCCGGAAGGGGCCATAAGTGGTCCCCAGGCCAGGCAGGCTCAGGACCTGAGTGGCGGTGGGTCAGCCAGGGTGGGCTGGCAGTGAGCATCACAGCCTGGGGCATCCCGGCCAGTCTGGGCAGCAGAGGACTGGCAGGCGTGAGGGTGGGCATGTCCCCCCACACCTGCCCTCTCCTCGTCCTAGCGATGTCACAGAGTGGAAGGGGACCGTGAGGCTGGGGCTGGGCCTGCCGGGGGATGGGAAGGACACATGGCCTCCCGCCCCCCAGCCTGCAGTCCCTGGCCTCTCCCTGGCTCCAGCTCGGTCCGTCCAGGGCTGGCCGCAGCACCAGGGCCTCTGGTCACAGCAGAGTCTCCAGGAAGCAGCTGTGCTGGGAAGTGGCCGGGCACCCCCACTGCTTCCTTTAACCCCACCAGGGAAGCAGGGTGGTCAGTCTGCCTCCCCAGGATGGGACGTGGGGCCAGCGGTGCTGCTCCTGGGAGCTGCACCCCAGCTCCTGAGGGTCCCTGGTGGGGTGCAGCTTGCCCACTCCCCCTGGCACCCCTGCCTGACTCTTGGGCTCAGCAGTGATGAAGCAGCCTGGGAAGTCCAGGGCCACCCACTCCGCCAGGGGTTCCCCCCAGGGCTGCTGGGGGGCTACGTGGGCCGGTGCCTGGCACAGGGCAGGTGCTCCAAGGGACAGGAAAGGACGTGGAGTGTGGTGGGACACCTGTGCACTCCCCACACAGGCCCCAACTCTGCACACTCCTCAGCTGGACCCCCCACTAGGGCTCTATCCCTTGGGGGCTAAGGGGCCAATGGCCATCCCTGGTGTGGTCAGGAATGAGGGGCAGGGGCCGGCTTGGCATGGTCGGTGCCCACCCTGCGCTTAAGGCTATCGCAGCTGGGCCTGCAGGTGCGCCAGGGCCGAGGCCGCCGCCCCGCAGTCCCCCGGCCTCCAACAGCCCGAGGCTTCCGCCTGGGCTCCTTGGCCAAATCTGAGCTGGTTTCCGCTCCAGGCAGCGAGGACAGGAAAGGGATGTGAGCAAGGGAGGGGTGCATTCCTGGGGGGTGAGCAGGAGGAGGTGGGCGGGGGCAGAATGCAGCCTGGGACCAGGCCTGCCACTGGCAGGAGCCTCTCCCAGTGGGCCCTGACTCCCGCACCCACCCCGCCACGGCCGGCACCGGTGCCCTCGGGCCTTCCATGGGGCCGGCCATGGGCCTGAGCCTCAGTTTCCCCCAGAGCAAGCCCAGCAGGTGTGAGGACAGAGGCGCGACCACACCTGGGTGTGGGGCTCTGTCTCGTTCCGTGGTCACTGGCTTCTCTCTCAGGAGGAGGGTGCCCGGCCCTGAGCAGGGCGAGGGGAGGAGAGTGAGGGGCCAGGGCGGCCCCTCGAGGGCTGGGCTGGGGCCGTTCCCCAGAAAGACCCCTGACCTGGCCTACGGGGCCCAGCCCCCAGGATCCCACCGTCATGCTCCTTGGAGTTGGAGGTCCCTGGCTGGGGCCAGGGGGCCTTTTGGGGGGAAGGCAAGGGGAGTCCTGTCCTGCCTGGCCAGGGGGGCAGCTCCCCACCTGCGAAGGTGGGGAGGGCAGGGTGGAGGGGGTGGCACTTCCTGCCACAGCAAAGTGGGTGATGGTGGGCTGTGTGTCCGCCCCCACACCCTCTACCGGCCCCACCGGGCCCCTGCTGACTTGGGGAGCCGCCACGGTCCAGCCCTTGGGCTTTTGGCCAGACCGCGTCCTCTCCCAGGTCTGCCCTTCCTACCCCCTGTCTGCCTTGTTGCTGAGCACCAGACAGGTCTCCGCTCCGGGACCGGGGTGCAGCCCTGCCCAGGTGGGGACCTTCACCTTTGCCCCACAGCGAGCGACACGTGTGCAACATGCACGAGTGAGTCCACGACCTCAGCCCACATGGGGGGGGGGGCCTTTCCCACGTTTACTGTCCGGAAGCCAGGGGGGCTGGGGAGCCCTGACGGGGGTCCGCTGGGCGTGCCGGGGTTGGGGACACTGCCCAGGGCCTCAAGGAACTGAGAGGCGAAGCGGCCCAGGTGGGAGCCCTCCCAGAAGACCTTGCCACAGCCCAGGCCGCCACCCCAGGCCTGCCGGGATCCCTGCCAGCTGCAGCGGGTGCGGTTGCCCAGTGTGGCTGGGACATGGGCGTGCAGATCTGCCTCCTCCAGCCAGTGGCAAGGGGGTCACAGGGGCAGCCCACCTGCGTCTCTTCAGGGGCGGAGCCTGGACCAGGGAAGCAGCCACCCTGTGGCCCAGGCTTCCAGCACGCTCCTTCCTGGTTCCCGTGCCTCATCCCACCTGGGGGACCGGGCCCTCTCTTCCCACCACTCTCTGCCGCCCTCGCCGCTCCAGCCTTGGACTCAGGAACCGTCTCCTCAGAGCAGCCCCTCTGTTGGGCCAGGACGCAAACCCAACTTAGGGTGGTGGGTCCCCACACCGGGGCCTCGTTTGTCCTCCATGGGCAGTCCCACGCCCACCTGGCTCTTGTGTGTCCTCCATCTGGGCCTCGTAACCTGTCAATCAAGGGCATCAGGGACTCCTGAGGACAGGGCTTGGCAGCCCCAGCCTCTCCCCCACCCCCAGCGGAGAGGGCAGAGGGCAGGGGCCAGAGAAGCTTCCGTGCCAGCCCAGTCCCCTCCCACGGGAACTCACACCTTGGAACGTTCTTGGGACTCAAAGGTCCTTGGGAAACATGTTCTGGACTCAAGATTGGCCGATTAGGGCACTCGGGGGCCTGAGAACGGGCAGCAGGGCGGGGGCGGGGCGGCCCGTCTGTGGCGATGAGCAAGCAGATAAGCCGATTGCCAAGGGGTCTGTTGCACAACCAGCCAGCACCAGGACGATGGCGGGCGGGGACCCAGGGGACCGGCTGGGGCTCAGGGTGCAGGGGAGACCCCAGGAGGGCCCCCTCCCTGCCCCCCCACGGAGAGCACAAGGAGCTGGCTAGGCTGCCTGAGGCTGGGGGGCGAGTGCGGGGCTGGGGGTGGGGCCACTGAGGAGCCTGGTCCGGCAGGTGGGAGAAGTGGCCTCCCGGGTCCTGCTGACCCTTGTAATTTGCTGGGCAAACATCTCTCTACACACTGACTGCAGCCTGAATGGAGGGTGCCCCACCTCGGCTCACTGCCCCCTCGGAGTCCAGCAAGACCACGACCCTCATCTGACTGTCCTGCTTCGACCCAGCCGGTCTGACCCCAGCCCTTCCCAGGTGGCCTCTGAGACACGAGACAGCCCGCAGGCGCCCAGGACCAGCGAGAGCCTCTGGGTGGGCGCAGGGACAGTGCCGCCCGTGCTGAGAGCCATGGAGATGGCTCGTCTGCCGTGCGGGTGGCCCCTGCACGGGTCCTGAACCTCGGAGGAAGGCGGGACGGACAGGAGCCGCTGGGTGGGCTTCCTGGAGAGGCGCCCCAGCCTCAGGACAACCCGACCAGAGGGTCCTAAGATGCCCTTTATCCACTCCAGCCCTGCCCACCCCCCGGAGGAGGTGTCGTCCTCCACTGGGTCCCTCTCTCTGGAGAGCTGGGGACGCAGGGGTCCCGCCACCCCAGCCCGCACCTGCAGTCCTCCAGGGCCCTGCGCCCTCCGAGGAGGCGCATTCTAGTTTCACAGAAACGGAACCTGGGGCTGGGTCCCCCGTCGGACCTGCCCCAGTGCGGGGTGGACACCTGGGCCCCAGCCCCCTTCCTGCGGGCCCAGGCTCAGCTGTGTCCCGACAGCCAGGTGTCGCCAGGGCACGAGAATGGGGGAGGGCACTCGTACCCACGGGTGTGCGTGGGCCAGTGTTCGAGTGTGCTTCACACAGGGTGGGGGGGGCGAGCAGTAGCCGAGCAGGGCCCACTGCAGAGAGACTGCTGGCCCCACCCAGGAGGGGCTCCGCCTGCCTCAGCTTCCAGGTCCCCTGGGCAGGCAGCCGGGGCTCCACCCAGACAGGGGCCCGGCACAGCCCTGAGCACACCTGTCCGCCACACCCTCACCTGGTCTGCACCCTGCAGGGGGCCCGGGAGTGGCCTGCAAGCGGCTCGACGGGGCTGCTGCCCACACCCCCAAGCCCACACCTGGCCCCCTGGGGTGCACTCACCTGTGTTGCTGGGGCCTTTCTGGTGGCCGCTGAGCCACGTGAGCTGCCGCATCTGGTCCTTGGAAACCTTCAGGCACTGGTCGAAGTTGCAGGCCTGGGGGCAGAGAGGGTGCTGAGGCCAGGGGAGGCCCCCTCCATCCCTCACCCCTTCCTCACCCACACACTCCTTGCAGCTCTGGCCCGGGTGTTTCACTGAGTTGAATGACACCGCCCTCCTCCCGGTAGGACCATGAGGGCACCACTTCTGGGGGCCCTCCCTGACTGCAGTGGCTCCTAGTGGGCCCTGGGCAACCTTCTCCAGCTCCTGAAACACTACAGGGAATGGCCGTCACCCTGGCTGTCCTCTGCAACCCAGGGCCTACAAGGGCACAGCCAAGCCTGGGCGACTCTGGGCTCACTCGGCAGAGGTGGGGGTGCAAGGCCCAGCGTGAAGGGGCCGTGGTGGGCGCAGGGTGCACACACCCATGGCTGCCCGACCCGAGGCCCACTGTGGGCAGAGCCAGACCCTTGGAGTGTGTGCATCTGCCTGAGCTGCCCCCGCAGCCTGGCACCAGGCCCGTGACCCTCGGGAGTGCAGCCGCCGAGCTGCTGTGCATGATGCCTTGTCCGGGACTTGCAGCAGCCCCGGGAGCTCAGGGCGGCACCGCGGGGCCTCACGGACTCTGGGCTGCCCACAGGCTGGGGCCTCGCACCGCCCTCCCAGTGCAGCTGTCCCAGGACCGCTCCATGACAGTCACTGCCTGGCAGGGTGGGTCTGGACCCCAGGATTCCCTCAGGTGACTGGGCACACAGGGGCCCAGGAGGACGGGAGTGGCCTGTGCCCGTGGAGACCCGGCCTCTGGTGGGTCCCCACGGAGGTGCACGTGCTGGTCTTGGGTCACAGCCTTTCCGGACATGAGATATGGGACCAGCTTGGGGGAGGAGGGTGAGCCAAGGGCAGGGTCCATGGGGGACCAGGGTTCGTAAGCCACAGGAGGTATGGGGCCACCCTCTGTGCTACTGTGATCAGTCCCTGCCGTGATCGGGCAAGAGCCCAGGATGATGGGCCTCTGGGAGCCTGGAGTAGGCGGTGGCCTCAGGCCCCGGGAGCCGCGGGGTGAGCCATTGCCACCACACGCCCTTTCCCTGGGCCTTTCGACACCTTGAGCTCTAGCTGTGGCCTCACTGCCGAGTCTCCAGCATTGCAGGTGGCCAGGGGCTGGGCTGCCCCTCTGGGGTAGGCTGGTTCCAAGGCAGAACCCTCCCCCATTCCTTGGGGGGGCCCCCTGTCTCACCACCTCCAGACGCCACTGGCCTCTGGCACGAAGGGGCTGCCCTGGGCCCCACTCCCCTGGGCCGGGAGTGCAGGCGAGGCCCTGGCTGCAGGGAGGCCTGTGGGCACTCTGGGCCCAGCCCTCCTGCTGCCCTGGGGCACCTGCCGTGGGGCCCCCACGGCCCCTGTCTGGGCCACCTGAGGGGACGGTGGCGGCAGGTGTGGTTCGGGAGGGACGGCGCAGCAGCGGGAGGGTGGTGTGGGCCCCCGTGAGGGGTCTGCCCTCCTTCCCGGGCCTGGGCCTGGTGTGCGCATCGGGGCGTGGCCGCCAGCTCAGGGCTGAGTCACGCCGCACAGACGAACGCCCGGTGCCATCCACCGGGACCCAGCCACACCCTCGGGAACCACCAGCGCCGGTTTTCCCACGGCCGCTGCCCACTGTCACCCGCTGGGTCCTGAGAGGCCCCGCCGCACCCCCGGCCCAGGCTGGAAAAGCCGGTTCTGTGCCCGCGGCCCGCCCTCTGCCCTGGCTTTCCCACCTGCAGGAGGGCAGGGCTGGCACCCAGGTCTTCCCTGCCGCCTCCCGGCCACCCCGGGAGGGAGGCTGTGGCCCTGCCCCTGGGGGGCTCCCTCCGATCTCTCGCCTGGTCCCAGGCTCAGTGTCACCCCCGAGGCACTGAGGGGCAGCAGGGCCTCTGCCCCCCGTTCTGAATATGGGGGCTTCCTGCAGAGGAAGCCGAGTGGCTTGCTCAGTCACAGGGCCCCACGCCGGGTCCTCCTCCTTCCAGCTGAGAGGCACGTGCAGGTGGTACCACTTCCCACTCCCTGGGTGGCCGGGCGGACCCTGGCCTGAGATGCATGTGGGTCTGGCAGAGACCGGCAAGGGCCTAGGGTCCTTCCCCCACCTCTGTGGCACCCCCATCCTGTGAGGGAGCCTGAGGGCAGGGCTGGCCACCGCCCCCAGATCCTGGCTGGGCGGGCGGGACCAGGTGAGTCGGGCAGGAGGGGCTGGGAAGGCTCATGGCTCCCGGGTCCCAGGGGTCCGCCTGGTTCCCACGGCCTCCGAGGTTGCTGGGAGCCAACGCCTGCCGTACAGCCTGACTCAGGGCAGGCGAGGGACAGCCTTGGGCAGGCGCCCGCAGCACGAGGCTGCTTCCTGGAAGCTGGGCCACCTCCAGGAACTAGTCTTGGGTGCTGGTGGGGCCTGGGGACCTGCAGCTAGGCAGGCCTGTCCTGGCGGTCCCCACTAAGTAGCCCCTGTGTCCCCCGGCTGGCTGTCCCAGCCACCTCCCTGGGAGGGGCCCTGCTAGGCTTTGAGGGGCTTGAGAAGGGGCCACTGCAGGTCCCAGAACACTGGCCCTTCCTCTGAAACCGAGACTTGGGGGGCCAGAAGCTGGAAGGCTTCAAGGGGTCAGTTCCCAAGTGCCAAGGGCCACACCGAAGAGCCAGCCTGCTTCCTGGGGACCTGGCCAATGAGCCAGGGCTGAGGGAGAGGCAAGGTCCCACCCCAGTGTCTGTCCAGAACCACAATCCAGGGACAGCCTGTGTCCCTAGTCGTCCTGGTCTGTGGGCCCTGGGGGTCTGCGGCACACACACCGAGCAGTGGAGCGGGCGCCCAGGCAGGGTGGGGGCAGGGCTCTCGTGGGCAGGCCCCACGGGGCTGAAGACCTCAGTGGACAGGGCTGGGAGGAGGCTGTGGAAGGGCCTTTACAGACTCTTCCCAGAGCCTGCTGGGCCCTCCCACCACTGGGTGCTGAAAACTGGTAACGCCTGTGGCCACCTCTAAACCCTGGGGCCCGAGTCCACCCCAAGCCGCAGGCATCACTGAGGGGGCTGCAGCCGAGGGGAGGCTGTGATACAGCTGCTCCCGGGCCCCGAGTGGAGGAAGGGCGGCATGGCCAGCTGGGGGCCCTGGGAGCCCCCGTCAGGGGTTTCCGACCCCCCACAGGAGGCGGGGGGCCAGAGGGGCTGTGACTCGCTCCGGAGTGACGGGCCGCGAACCGACAGGAGTAGCTGAGCACAGACACTCAGGAGAAAGGAAACAGCCCCCCATCTCAGCACGGCCGCAGGAGGTTTCCGGCACCTTCTGTGAGCGGAGTCTCAGACAGATACTCGTGTCAGGGAAACGAGAGACATGGGCAGGTATCGGCCTCAGGACTCCAGTGTCCCTGTCCCCCGGGGTGACTGTGGCCCGTCTGGTTCCTGCAGAGAGCACCTCGCCCTCCCGCAGCGTCCGGGGCTGCTGCCCTGAGAAGTGGCCCAAGGCCACTCCCGCTGGCTTGCTCACACTGACCCCGGAGGTGCCCCAACAAATGGTCCCGGGTGTGGGGACATGGCTGGGATGGAGGCCCGGCCTGGAGTGGCGGCCGGACACCTCGCTGGACAGGGTGGGACCAGTCGGGAGGAAGCAAGGAGCCCAAGGCCTGGGTCAGCTCCACACCTCACTCTCCCACGCTGCCCCTGTCCTGGCAGCAGCTCTCGGGGCCCTGCGCCATCCGCTCCCACAGGTGACACCGCTCAGGAGCCTCCTCCACACCTGCGCCACCCGACCTTCCCACAAAGGCCTCGCTGGCCCGGCACTGGGGGCCGTCCCTCCCCGTTGGGCCCATTCGCACTGGAGACGGGCTGGGCGGGGGCAGGAAGTCGAGAGCCCCTCTCCCAGATGGGCGGCCTGGCACCATGGGGTGCCATCCCCACCCCACCGGTGGGGCACAGGCTGGGGGGTGTGCCTAGTGGCTCTTCTGTTCCCATGGAGCGGGCCTGGGCCCCAGCCCCTGGCCTCGCCCTGGACCAGAGACCTGGGAGGGTGGCCCTGCAGGGGCCTCCCTTCCCTGTGCCCCGCCCCCAGGCCCAGGAAGGCCTCTTCCCACAGGCCCAGCCCCTCCCCCCGCCCAGCCCCTTTGTGGGCCCAGGACGAGGGCTGCACAGCAGTGGGGGATGGGCGTCCGGCGCCTTCTGCCCAGTGCAGGGCCCCTGGGGGGTCAGGGGCCACGGGTCCCGGGGCACGAGGAGGCTCTAAGAGCGCTAGGTCGGCGTACCCAGTGTGGGGGCAGGCACCCGGCAGGCCCGCGGGTGAGCGGGGCGAGGGCTCCCAGTGACAAGAGCGGCTAAGCATGCGCCTGCGTGTGAGCACGGGCAGGCCCGTGCTTCATGTGTCCCCTGACCGGGTGCATGTGAGCAGCCTGGACAGATGCCTGTAAGCGCCCCACTGGGCAGTGAGTGAGGTGTGTTCTGGCCTCTATTTTCGGGGTGCGAGGAGCCCCAAACAGCCGCCTCTCTAGGCGGTTGGGGGAGGACACAGTGACATCTGGGGCTTTCCTGGCTGGGCCGGGCTCACGGCTGACGCCGCCTCACTAACGCGGCACCCCCAGTCTGGACCTCGGCCTCACAGGGAGACGGGGCCTGGCGCCCCTGCACTGGACCTTGGCCCACCCCCACTGGGCCCACTTCCCGCCGTGGGGACAGGAGGGCTACCTGGCCTGCCTCAGACTTTCTGGAAGTGGAGGCCGTGGCCGAAACCCCGCGCACTCCTGCCAAGTGCCCGGGGAGCCTGTCTGACCCTCCCACCGTAAGGGAGGAAGAGGGGCTGGCAGGGGAGGACAGCCCGTCTCAGCCGCCACAGGCGGAAGGACAGATGCAGAGAGCAGCCACAGCCTGAACGGGAGGCACCCTGGCTGGGGACACCGAGGGGGGGCTGCGGACGAACCTGTAGGCAGGCCTCCCACTCGCCCCCCCACCCCCGGCCCCGAACTTGGGCCCCATAAAGCCTCTCTCTGACTGTGCCACCCACAGCCCAGGGCCCCCTTAGGCCCTGGGCCAGCAGACACCCAGCCCGCCCTGTG